TACCCCTCCCCTCCACACACTTTTCTATATATGCTTTTGATCTATGATCTATGTTAACTAATAAAATGATGATAATAATGCTTATGATACCATGGGATCATAGGAAAAAGCATTGTGTGTTCTGAACTACAAAGCCATTCTTTCTCTCCTATTATTTTTTCAACTCCTCCTCAGTCCTCACCCCCTATTTTAAACTCTTAAGAAAAGTAGACTCTGCTTATATATACCTTGTCTCCAATGGTATATTACTATTCAAGACCCAGCTGTTATGCAGGTGTACAGAATCTTGCGTAGTGGATGGAGGGGTTGGAGCAGCTGGACTGGGTTGACTTCGGGTTGTCATTGATCTTTTCTGGAGAGAATCTGCTGTTGGAGGTGGTTTCCTGCTGCAGGTGCATGCATGTGGTGGTGGTGGGGGGGGGGGGGGGGATTCAGTATTTTTGTTGAAACCATCTGGCAACCCTATTCATTAAATGGTTTCAAAGTCACTCAAAAATACATTACGGCCAAGAACAGAGTCATGGCAGTTAATGTGACCGCATAGTTCAACTAGCTATTTTATTACTACACACAGTACAGAGTGTGTGTAGATGGTAATTAAAGGCTTGTCTGGATTATAAATGTTTATCATGTGACTGAAGGGACAATCTGTATTGTTAGTCAAACAGAACGCTCCGAGACCTCGTTTTTATAGTGGATTTGAACTCTGATTTTGTACATGGCACCACACAAAAAAAACCTTTGCTTAGTTATTCTGTAACGAGGCATGCGAGGTCAAAGACACAGAAGGGATCAGAAAACTATAATTCAAACAGATAAGCAAAACTGGAATGTCAAGGACGGAGTCAAGTTTCTTCCTAGAAATACTAGAGCCAAATCTGGGAGAGAAACGGAGCACAAAGCCATATCCTACGTGCATGTCTGTTTGCTAGCCAAAGACACGCAAAAGTATCAGAGATGTAGAAAGATCTCTCCAGTGACAAAGTGTGTGCAGTCAATGGATGCATCATGTTCAGCACCTACAGTAGTTGCTATAGATTGGCCTACGAGTACAGATATTCCCCGACTTACGAACGAGTTATGTACCAAACACTTGGTCGTAACTTGATCTGTTTGTAAGTTGGACTCCATTCATTTAAATGTGACCGCGCTGTTCATAAGCACGGATCGTGCGTTCGTAACGCGGGGACCGGCTGTAATGCGCTTAATGGGAGGTTGGTCATAAGTGCGAATGATCGTAAGTTGACGCGTTCGTAACTCGAGGACGACCTGTACATCATGGGTGGAGCTGAAGGGCCAGATAAAGGATACAAAAATGGCTGTCAAAATCTCTGGAGCATAAGAGCTCATTGTGT